ATGATAATTTTTTATATTTTCATAAATCATCCTTATTGAGTTTTCAGTCAATATTATTTGATCATCTGTGAATCTTGACGGATCAAATAGTTCAAAATCATGAAACAATTCTTTATGTTTCTTGAATCTAAATTCCAATGCGGTGATAATATTATCAATGATTACATTAAAAGTCTCAATTTCGAATTTCTTGATGGGATTTTGAGGGGCTACATCACCTATCTCATCAAAAACACTTTTTTCATTTCGTGTTCTTTGAAAATAAATAGTTAATTTGCTTTATCAATGAATTTATGTGTATCAATCAAAATGAAATCATATTCTCGCGATATTTTTTCAAGGAATTCATGGTTTTTCCGACGATTCGGTATGCTTCTAAAATATCCATTGGAACCTGATATTCGTAGTTAGCTCGAAAGAGGAGTGGTGAAATTGAAGATTTCTCTAATCAAAATTGCAGATATAATGGTCTCATACTTCAGAAAGCTGTTGAGAAGACATATATTTCTTTATTCATTCACTATTTCTACCGGCCCCAAAGGGCTCCGGCCCATCGGGCGATCGCCCGACCGCCCGGCCCCCCAGTCCGCCTCTGGCCACAGATACACCCATGAATATCGAGTGAATTCAAATGAATATTCATTTTTATTGATAAAAACACAGAAATTCATTCCACTTGTATACAATCCTCCTTTCAGTAACTTGATATACGTCACCCAAGATATTTTGATTTCCGCGACAAACCCGATGTGAGATACGTCACTTTCGACATTTTCAACACATAATGAGAACATATCTCACGTACTAACGTAACTCCTATAATTAGGTCACTTCGTGAGATTCGGTAGTCCAATAATTTGAGATAGGCTGGGTACTAGATTTTCAATTGCACGAAAACCATTGAATATTGAGTAACGCCACTTTGTGAGATCATAAAGTACAAGAATATAAATCACTTGACGAAGTATCTCCGATTCCGATTTTTATGAGATACGTCATTACGTGTCTCCAGAACTGAAAGTCCTTTTATATATCTTCCATTCGACTTCGCGGTTACGTATATTACTAAACCACCACTGAATTCGCAATTTTAAATCAAATCAGAGAATCAGACTGACAGAAGCGACATCAGATATTTGATTACTTCAGAAGAATGATAAAGATGCCTACAACGCAGGTGTCCCTATACTGTTAAAAACTTAAAATAATGTAATATCTTCTCAGTATTGATTCGTCCTCTCTTCTGTCACAGGAAAAAAATTGTGTATTATACACGGGAAAAATATTAGATTTTAGCTCACGGTTTTTTGTCTCCGCCTCCGCTATGCGGCGGGAGACAACACAACCTGGAGCTAAAATCTACTACTTTTTTCCCTTGTATAATAAATAACTATTTTTCTAACGGGGAAAAAATGAGTACTTTTTCCCGGATATACAGTGTGACCCACTTAAGACCGGAGCACCCTCATAAAATCTTAAGTTTTTGACCAATTTATTTTTTTTTCATTTTAGCAGAAGGACTATCCGGAGATCTACGTTTACACAAATTTGCAAAATAAAATTTCAATCTACAGGGAATACTATATTATTTTTATCATGTTAAAAATTGCGAAATATCAGTAGCGATTTTTTTCAAAAAAATCGACCCCACCACTGAATTCAGCATCCTTCAATTAGGTTGAGCGCAAAATTTGATTACTTTAATGGAATGACGAAGATGCCTGCAAAAAGATGCGTATTATCTATACCCTGCCAAATTGATGATTCACTGATTGGTCGTATAGTATATACCATCAATTTGTATATATTCCATTTATTTTTCTACCCCACGTGAGTATAACTCTCTTTTACCATCATGCATCATATATGTGTATTTGATAACTTTTTACTTTACATTGTAGAACTATTTTATAAGGCTGATGAGGGTCCGTTTTGTCAGAAACATGTCCCGTTAGTAACTATACTAACTGTTTACTTGATAAATGTTGTGGACACTAAATTGTTGAAAATTTACTCAGAATTAAAATTGTTATAGAGCGATCAATATATGGGTAGATTTATTATGTGCCCAGATTTTTGCCGGTGAGTATTTGTGCGTTCTTCCCGATTCATATACACTGAAAAAAAAAAATTAGTGAATTTTCACTCAAACTTCACTCAATAATGTATCAATTTCGGTCCACGCCCGATTGAGTTGAAAATTCACTCTACTTGACTGAGTGAGATGGTAATTGAATGAGTGAATATAAGGAATCACAATTGAGTCAATGTTTCCAGTTCAGATTTGAATATTATTTCAGCTTTGCGATTTCTTGAGTGAGTTTCAACTCATATTTGAGTGCCTAGAACATTTATTGAGTATGTATATGCGCATTATTGAGTGCTTTTATACCCAAAATGAGTATTTTAAAACTTTCTATGACTGGTTTTATATATTGAGTAAATATGATATATCGTACAAAAGTTTATTAACAATCAGAGTAGATTACAATACAATTACAATCACAATGAACTCCTAATAAAAAACAAATCTAACCCAATTTGAAATCATCAGTACATGCGGTCTCGCCTCCCGAAATCAAGTATGGCTTCTTCTCGCTGCAGAATCTTACTAACAAGCTCGTTGACACGTTGACACGTTGACAGTCACATCAATCTGCAGACAAAAAAAATGCATATATAAACAGCTGATTCAAAAATGTATTCGTCAGAGCACATTTGTTCTGGGTATGTTACCTAGAGACAAATTCACGAATAACGTTTCAAACAAATATTTTATCGATCTTATGAATGATCACAATTGAATTATTCAGTATCAGTTTTGATAACACTTTCTCAATTAAGATTCAATATACCTAATTTGGAAATAATGTGATCAATGATGATTACATTTACTCATTTCTGATTTGAAATACTCTCATTTGATTGATTTTCAGTCACTATTGAGTGTAAAGCAAACACACGAACATGGTCGTGCATGGCTGTGAAAGACATCAACGGCGATATGGACTATTCAACAGAAGAATACGTATATTGATTTATCTGAACGTCAAGGATATCGGATATAAATCAACACTATATATACAATACAATTTTTAAGAATCACACCATCCAAATGAATATTCGAATTATTTGATACAATTCACGATCATCAGCCATGTTGTTGAAAGCCATCATGTATTTTACGAAATTAAACTTACCCGCAGTAAGTATTCCCAAACTTCACAGAGATGATCATGCTAATAACATGTTTCTGCTCGAACTTGCAGTTAGTACTTCTATTCAATTATAATTCACTTCGCTGAAATGGAAAGAACAGGATTGTTTTTATGCACAGCACTTCCATCAAGACTGACGCTGCGTTATCAATTGGACAAAACGGCCTCTGCTTAGTCTCGAGTTGGCTCGAGTCTTCCTCGCTGATGACCACAGAGATTCGGACATTCGTTTACTCCGATGTTCTTCATTTAGAATAATTAAAACATATAATATTGTGGTGACTTTGAACGGTCATGATGTTATTCCCAAATACACTGTTCACTGTTTGCACGTTGAAAAGGGAATGGGACAGTGAGATGACTGAGACGCTAACAATATACAGCGCATGGACCGGCCCTTTCAACAATTATTTGGTGAAATCGCTCGATAATGAGTGATTCTCACATGTTTCATCTAATGATTGAGTAAAAGCCACTCTAATATGGTTTTCTTCTTTGTTTTATTCCAAAATTTGTGCTGTTCAATCAAATTTGTCATAAACATTGTCATAATTGGAAGGGATTGTGAAAATACTCAGATTTCATTGAAAATTTACTCAAAAAATTCACTCAGTAGATTAACTCATTACCAAATTTGCAGTCACTCAAAAGGATTTCTTACAGTGTACCCTGAAGTAGGAGCAACATGGGTATATTTTTCTCCACCATGCACTGGCGTAAAGTGTGTTTTTACTACCAAGGTAGTTTTCGTCATTTTATGAACTATACTATAGTCAATATGCAGACAAAGCCTCCTCTGATGTTTTTATCAACCTGCATTCACTGTTCTGATGGGGATATTCGCAGGAATGACACTTGAATCTATATTAGGTATACCTATTTATCAATAACAACTACTACTAACTATATATACTAGATTTGAATAAGAATTGAGAAGAAGTGCTTCCATAGTGACACGGGCTCCATATTCAGTTTCACAGAATTAAAATGATGTTTTGCTAGTGGTGAAAAACATTCGATATATATACACCTTGGTATAAGATAATAATATTATACCACGGGACCTTATATTACTCTTCGGCTGAAGCCTCTCGATATAATCTTGGTCCCTGGGTAATATCTATGTACTGATGATATTCTTTACTATACCTTGGTGTGAAAATAACTATAATATATACGTAGGTATATATTTATTTCAACACCAAGGTAATTCGATAAAAGTAGTTTTAATCCTGATATCACTTGTATAATGCATCAAAAATATGTAGGTTTACCTATATCTACCGAATTTATGATAGATATACTCATATAAATATTTTATCGACGATAATGAAGTTGCCCAAAAATTAATATCGATAATAATTAATATAACAGTCATAATATTATGCCCCCGCGAATACATCATCATTTTCATATTATGCAGTAATAAATAATGGAAGCAATCACATGAATGACAATTTCCGTTCAACGTATATACCCTACCTATCATCTTATCACACCTCAATATAACAGGTAAATAACCAAACAAAATTGAAATAAAATACCCATTCCATAATAAAATAATGAAACACCTGATTACATCTTGTTTAATCTTCTCTTATTAAACATACCATAATCTATTTAATTAACTCCTAACACAATAAAGAGCCAATATCACGACGATTTGAACGTGAATTCGGCGGCGTGGTTTGACAATCGACGCGCAGAATCGCCAACTGCGATCTGGAATCGACGCTTCCGATTGGCCGAGATACGGGGGAGGGCAGACCCTGTCAACCCCTCAAAACAACCCATGCAAGTGGACGGAATTGTCAGTCGACGTTAACAGCTTTTCGTGCGACTATACTTGGCTTGTCGGTTGTCTGTCAAAGTGCCAGAAATTTGGTTTGTTCGAATATCGTGGCGTTTTTTTGGAAGATGTCGCAGTCCAACGTCATGGCGGAGGAGATCAGGCCTAGGGCCCTGTATAGCATCGACCAGATACTGGGAGTTAATAGTTCTAACACGTCATCCAAGAGTCTAACTGGTAAGTTGTATTTTTTTTTTTTCGTCAACAGCTCCATAGTGGATGATTTTTCAAAAACTTTCAACACTCTCAACTCATTTGTTCCATTGTGTTCTTGAACTATAGATTTGGCAAACACATTGGTACTTTATCAAAAAAGGGAGGAAATATGGTATTTTTGAATTCTGTAGAAAAAGTTGAAGGAAAACAACCAATATTAATTGGTATTCCCTTGAAGACTCCTCAGAAGTCATCAAATTTTTATAAAACTCGATGCGTCTCAAATTGAAGGCTCATATCTGAACAACAAAAGGCACGTGAGATACATGCCTTGGAGCACTCTATAGCTTCATTAGGAGGGGCACTGTATAGTAACAAATTGCTTTCTGGATGCGGAATACTCCAAGTCTTCAATTGAAACATTTTGTCTAAATCAAATGAAGAAAACATGTATAACTTAGATTGTTTTGCGATCATTATAGATATGTCATTGAGTTCCTTCCTATGTCATTCTCTAATCACTTCTAAATAGATACTAAGTAGATAAATAGTTTGAAAATATATTCAAGTGCATTGAAATTTATTTTTTCACGTTATCCTAATTTATTTTGGTCTAATTCAAAGCAATAAATCGGGGCACCAAGAAATCCCGTGTCTTATCGCGACACCAAAACTCTTGAGATTAGTTTGCACTAAATTAGTCAGTTTTCAATAACACATATGGTAATACCTATCAACAATTTCAAAAAGTGCGCGAAAAATGTTTCTGTAGATTTACTTTCTTCATGGTCAACAGACAATTATACTTGAGAATACCTATAGGTACAACGGAAGATGCAGCAGTTGAGTGCTTATTAAATCTAGCAAATTTAATCAAAACCCTTTTTCGCTAGTAGGCTTTTCATAGTCAAAGGTGTTGGACTATTTCCGTCTCCATATAATAAGAAGGCGATATATGCAATCAAAAAAATACCCAACACTCTATTATTCCTGTCAATCCCTGCGATGGCTTCAATATTTATTATTCTCCACGAAATGAGCGATCAGCATCACGTTTTCGCGAGGGGTCAACCACTATGTCAAATCCAAGGTCTATTCTTAGCCCGATATTCCTATTCTCGCAATGTCCATTGTCCAATTGTCCAATGCAATCTCGTATTTTTAATATTCGATAATAATAACAGATAATATCAGTCCAATCCTACGTCCAATCTATCCAATCCGTGCGTATACGTTTTTGGGAGAGTGGATTATCCCTCTCGTTTTCGCTGTGATTAGATACGATATTTTTAGTACTGATTCAAATGATTTCTGTTTTTTTTTTTAGAATTTTCATTGATGAGCCTTATTGTAAATATTATTTGGCAACATTTTCCATATTAAGAATTTTCATATATTCACCTTATTTTTGCTGACGCACTGTGTTCCGTCACACACTAGTTTCAACGTCATTCGAGGTGCCAATATTCAGCACTATTTATATTGACTATGAAAGCTGTTAAAAATTGCTAGTGCAGAGTGCAGAATGTGTAATATAACTGCGAATGATAATCCAGGGTATGAAAACTAAGTACGAAAAATTAAATATGGTTGGTTACTGAATTTTCGTGGTTTTGATAGTCTGTATTATTATTTGCGTTGTATGAAAAATTTGAGAATCCGACAGTTGTTAGGTGACAAGGATTACCTATATAATACAATCTGCATTCGCTTTTTTTCCATAGCCACCTACTAATTAGGTCCACGCGGCTTTTATTGTTCCATAAAATAGTGCGGAATAGTGCCCAAGAAATGTAAAATGATGGAAAAGTAATGTGTGACGGTATACAGTAATAGTATTTCAATCAAAAAACTTATACATCAAGTAGACGACTTGTTTTATTAAACTGGAATTCGCACCTAAGTGAGTTAACCTCGGAGTTAACCCTTGATTTGTGCAAATACAATTTCAATACAGATACTATTTACAATAATAACAAATAAGAATTGATGCTAGATGAAGTATAGTGTCTTTCGTTTATATAACGTTCACAAATTTATGAGAACTTCTTTACATTTTTTATAATTCTATAACCTCTATTAATGCTAGCAAATTATAAATTTTTGGTGCCAACTAAAAGACGAATCTCTGATCTCTGGTTTAAATTTCAATAACATTCCTACGATTAACTGAACACGAACTGAATCGATATTTCCAGAATCAAAATCCGAACCAAAAAAACTACTATAATATACTTATAATCCGCTGGACACTGGCCTACAGTCTGTGTATGAACTAAAGCCGTATTAAAAAAATTGTTAGTTCAACATTTCTTTCCTTGGTTGTCTGGCATCATTCATTCCAAACATGATGGTAGTGCTTGAAATACTCATTTCATTTGTTACAATGCCGAGAGAGAATCGAAACAATAGAAAAAAAATATTGCAGTGGATGAAAAACTGTCAGATTTCCATAAAATCATCGAAGTTATTCATTTTTATCCTTCTATACCACACAACATTGAATTGTTCATTTTTCTAATAACGTATAGACAATGAATCTGTAGACATAGACATGCAATGTAACGTTCACATCAAGAAAAACAACAGATTATTTCATTTGGTAGGTAGATATAGTTCAACAAAATAGAAGCTTGTACTGGACTCACTTCAGCTTTAGCTGGGCCTATTTTGTGCACATAGCTTTCGATGAGGGATTACAGTAGGAACACTTAAATAGGGGAGGCTTTATATTGATGAAACAAAGTTACACACGAGGGGATAGTCTGGAGAGCTTTTAACTTACCTGATAATTTGAATACCCCTTTATTTTGCCTCTATTCAGTTCTCAACAACCAACAACAGTGAGCGTTTCGAGATAAACTAAAGGTATACAGGATGTGTAACTTCCATGAAATGTTTATATAAAGGAGTATAAAAAGTCACAGCTTCAATATCATTTACTAGCAGACCTCGTAAACGTTTTGCTATATACCTACATTTTTTCTATAATATTTTTTTTCAGTTCAATATGCATCAGTCATACCATTATTATTCTATTTTCTACTTCTTTTTACTTCCGCTATCTATATATAAAAGTTTTTAAAACTACCATTTATTTAAACTTCTGTTTAGTCCACTTGAATTTCCCAATTTTGACGAATAATAATAATAATGATAATAATAATAATAATAATAATAATGTTTATTTTCACTTTCTGAAGGGTACAAATAGAAAAATATACATACTTAATATTAGTGATAATCCTAAAACCCCATAGTTAAAAATTCTGAATAGAATCGGGATATAATTACAAAACTCGTCCGCAATATTGGATCTACCATCTTGAATTCCCTAATTTTGACGAGGGAATCATAATTTTTGATCCCGAAAACGCCCACTTACAAATTTTGAACAGAATCGGTATATATAATTACGAAAGTCGTCTGATACATTGGTTCCACTTTCTTGAATTTCCAAATCCCACCCTGCCCAAATTTTGACAAAAGAATCATATAATCTCCGACCCCGAAAACACTCATCAGATAACAACTTTGAAGAAAGGCGGATCATAGTTACAATACTCGTCCGCCATCTCGAATTTCCAAATTTGAATGGAATCAGATCCTAATTACAAAATCCGACATTTTGGATCCGCCATCTTGAATATCTTGATTTTGACGAAGGAATCATAATCCCCGATCACGAAAACCCCTAGGTACCAATTTTGAATAGAATCGGATAATAGTTACAGAACTCGTCCGCGATATTGGTTCCGCCATCTTGAATTTCCAAATTCAAATCAAATCTTTCCTCTTTATAATATTAGTATAGATTATCCACTTGGGGCAGTAACTAATCTGAATTTCTCTATTGCGGAACTTCATTTTATATTTCAAGTTCACCATCAGAAAGAGCGTGTCCCACTTTCTCTAAATTACAATTACTTATACCAAATTCTCAATTCATTGGACTTCCATGAAAAAGTTGAATTAAGGAATCATGAAATCATCAATATTTTGATTTTCGTTTCCTAAGATAACTAATGATATACAGGGTGTTTCGAAATTCGACCGACAACGCTTCACAGGTGGTAGCTCTCGTGATTCAATAAATAATGAGGCAGGAACATAAGGCTCTGACGTGCTTAGTTATCGAGATACAGGGTGTTAAAGTTGAGAAATAAAAATAGTTTTTTCGCAATATCTCAAAAACGGCTGATTTTTTTTCATTAAAATTCGATGAGCAAATTAAAATTGAGAATCTCCATTTCCAGACGTCGAATTCATATTTGACAATTGATCCAGTGGCGCCATTAAGGGGGTATGATTGCATGATTTTTCAAAAAAACATGTGTTGCGATATGAATTTTGGAAATTTCATATGATTATATCAAAGACCATTCAATTTTGAATTAAAAATGAATACTTGATGGATCTCGATAGAACCCACCATTTTCGAGAAAAAACGAAAAATGTAAATAGTATTCCAATCACTTCATTCCCAATCGATCAATCAGATAAAGAAAATTCACCCAAAAAACCACAACAATATTGAAAAAACTATAAATAAGTATTTCGGAAACTAAGTAGACATCCTTAGTAGTCCTCAGTCCCACAGGTTATTTTCGGAGAATATCTCAGTCAGCGAACTATTTTTTACTTTTCAGGACTTCTGAGGATGGCAATTCAGTTGCCGAAATACGTACAAGAGTTTTTTCAATACTGTTGTGGTTTTTTGGGTAAATTTTTCTCATTTGATTGATCGATTTGAAATGAAGTAATTGGAAGACTATTTACATTTTTCGTTTTTTCTCGGAAATGGTGGGTTCTATCGAGATCCATCAAGTATGCATTTTCAATTCAAAATTGAATGGTCTTTGATATAATCATATAAAATTTTCAAAATTCATATCGCAACACATGTTTTTTGGAAAATCATGCAATCATACCCCCTTAATGGCGCCACTGGAAGAATTGTCAAATATGAATCCGACGTCTAGAAATTAAGATTCTGAAGTTTGATTCGCTCATCGAATTTGAATGCAGAAAAATCAGCTGTTTTTGAGATATTGGGGAAAAACTATTTTTATTTCTCAGTTTCAACACCCTGTATCTCGATAACTAAGCACGTTAGACCTTTATGTTCCTACCTCATTATTCATCAAATCACGAGAGATACCATCTGTGAAGTGTTGTCGGTCGAATTTCGAAACACCCTGTATAACGAGCAGTTTAGATAACGTATCATGGAAAAAGAAATTAGCTCGGAAATTAGTCACGTATTTTATGTCAAGTCCAAAATGGTTTCTTCTATACATATATAGCCTATAGAGAACTTTCATAATTTTGTAAATTTTAGAAAGTACTTCTTTCTGCAGGTTTTCATATGTGGAGAGCGTCATTTCGCAAATATTATCCCTCATATATTTTCCACTAATGAACAATCCTCTTTACAGCTTTTGAATTCAATTTTTAATTTCCAGCAGATTGTATTCACTAGAGTCCCTGTATGTATTTGACACTTTCGCTGTAATAAGAGTACGGACACTATGACAAGCAGTGACAGAAGGCATAACCCTAAAAAATTTGAAATGACATGAACAATTTGGCGGGCACTGACAGTTCATGAACGTACATGACATTAAATTATTTGAAAATTCAGGTTTTCAAAAATTAAAATGTCTAATTGTGTAGTGGAGAATTGCGAAAATGGAAGCGAGTTCTTTCATTTCCCCCATTCTAACCAACAACAGTTACAGAAATGGAAAGAAAATATGAAGCGGCCACTATGGAAATTGAATTCAGGTAGCAAGATTTGCGAAGTAAGTACCTACTCAATATTTGAATTTTTCGATTGAATATCATGCATATTCGAAGGAATAATATCATTAAGATTTCATAGTGGAACATACCATCAAATTGAAAGAAAATGCGGAGCCTTCATTCCATCATCAGAAGGATTATCGAAGACATTCCTTATCGAATTCAGGACAATTTTTACGAGGAAAAATTCAAGTAGAATACCAAGATGAAATTAAATGTATTTTGGATCACAAACAAGAAATTATCGAAGATTCAGAGAGAAGATATGCCGAAATTCAAGATTTATTAATAGTTAATGATGGAAGATACAGAAAAAAAATCGAAGAAAAGGACGAACATTTGAAAAATAGCTTGAAGCAAAGAGATTCTGAAACAAGACTGCAAGTTACGAATATTCACAACTATTATAGGGAAATAATTTTAGATCTTCAACTATCTCATCAAAAATCTTTGAAAGAGTGTGAGGAAACTGCTAATGCAAGAATACAGGCAATTTTGAATCGACTCAAGACCCAAATTGATAGTTTCGGAATATATTTCAACCAAAATATTAGATTTTCAGTTAATAACGTCAATATAAAGGTGAGAACCGTGGGATAATCATGTCAGATCCATCGCAAAAGCTGCTTCACAAAAACTCGGATTCTTGTTCCGTGCGAAAAGCTACTTTACACCTCAACAGCTTCTCATGATCTACAAAGCGCAGATACGGCCTGTTCTAGAATACTGTTCCCACATATGGGGTTCAGCACCAAAACATACGCTGATGCTCTTAGATTCCATCCAGAGAAGAGCCATTCGCCTGGTGGGTGACGCCACACTCACTCACTCTTTGACATCATTGGAACACCGTAGAAAGGTCGGCGACCTTTCACTTTTCTATCGATACTTCCACGGGAAATGTTCTTCGGAAATCTCTGCTATCATCCCTTCACTAGCATTACCAATCAGACGAACTAGACAAGCCCAGTCAGCACATCCTTTCGTTGTCAACCTCGAAAGATGTCGAACAGCACTTTATCAGGACTCCTTCATCCATAGAACGGCTAGGCTCTGGAATTCATTGCCTGTGGAAGTATTCCCAACAACATATAATCTCCAAAAGTTCAAAAAAAATTCCAATACCTACCTCCTGTCCCTATCCTCCCTAGGAACGCACGATGTTCTTTGAACATTATAGGGATTCCCTTTCGTGCGCTCCAAGCGATAAAAAAAAAAAAAAAAAAAAAAAATCGGAATAATGAGCACAATGCCGCGTGGATGATAAAAAAGGTCCAAAATGTTATTGGTCGCAATTTGTAAATTGTGACCATGAGTTCACGAGATATGTACACCATCGAATATGATTCATTGTGCAGATTGTGTTCCAGATCAAGTACCAAGTACCTCTACAGCTCTGAGACATAAAATTTGATAATTTATACTGTTATGTTGTAAAAGCTAGTTTTTATTTCAATTTCATAAAATAGTTTATTTCTTACGAGAATAGCATGTTGCCATATTACCCAACCTGTGATGCCATATTACCCTTGGTATGGGGTAATATGGCAATATGATATTACTATGCATTTTTACTTGTAATCTTTTGCTGTGTGGAAAAATGGCAACGAGCGACTCTGGACACAAAAATATATTGTGTAAGCTCTAACGTGCAGCGATCGTCTTTCAGCTAGGCGCGATGGTTGTTAGATTGTGTGCATTTAAATTTTATGTTGCCATATTACCCCACTTTACTGTACCATTATTTGAAATTTTGTATTCTTGTCATTGGATATACTATACTTGAATTATAATCATTATACTTGTATTTGTCGAATTTTCTGATCGTTCATGCCCTATGAAGTGTCTTAGTATGTTATGAGAACAAATATAAGTTTGTTAATTGGTTGAATTGTTCTTCCCATTCATTTACATTCTGCCCATCAGAACTGGCTACTAAATCCTGACTCTATCTATTGAAAAACTAGTGTATCCTAAAATCAAATAAATTGAAGTACATATACCCTTTGTTAAGTATATCGAGAAATACTTTCAACAAATTGATTTACAAACTATGACCCCTTTTCGCCAGTGAGATGAGACGCCACTTCTTTATGAAAATAAAGACAGAGAAAGATATATGGATGTACCCTTCACCGCGGCAGTAGAAGATAGAAGATCCGAAGTGCATGGAAAAGCATATCCATGTCTTTGTTCAAAAGTCATTTTGAGAATTTGGGGTTATGCCTTCCGTCACTGCTTGTCATAGTGTCCGTACTCTTATTACAACAAAACTGACAAATATATACAGGGAATTATACATACAGGGACTCTAGTATTCACGAGCTCCATTCCAGTTTTTGTAAGCCGGCGTAAGGGCCATATGATTTACATATATCAGAGTCAGACCGAACACATGCTCAAATGATATTACGTTCCGTAATTTCATGTATTTTATCATCGAATTTGGTGATTCCCTTTTGTCCGACACATACCCAACTTTGCATGTTTGGTATTCATAGACTTACCCTATAATGTTAAATGGTCTTTGACATAGCCATCGCATGTATAACGATGCATGCAAACTGAATGCTAATCCGACCAGCTTTGAAGGATGAACCACATTGTTTGATATTTAGATCGAATTGTCAAAATGACCGAACTCAAACTTAATAACGAAAGGAGTAGGTAGATGAACATTTTTGAATGTTGATGATCTACACGAGTTTCACACTGATCCATCGGATATTATCTTTCGACAAGGGCGAAAAAATATCGACGCTATGCCACTAACTCAGATAAATTTTAATCGCGGCACGTTCGGATATTTGCAAAAGGGACATTTTTCCCTTTCAATTGATTATTGTCTCAAGTCATTATCACATGACGCAAGTATCATATTATCTTGATGCCCTTTATAGCAACTCCGCAGTTACGGGGAAAAGCAATTATTATGTTTCACTGTGGTGGTCAGACGGATTGATAATGGATTTCACGCTCTAAACATTCAATATCTCGAAAAATAATAAAGATATTGAAAAATTCTAAACAAAATCTTGGATCAGACGTTGTTTTGTTTCGAATGATGCCCTCCCCATTCCATATACTGGGAGTGTGAAAATTTTTCATTTTTTCCAATGGAACACCCTATATTCTATTGCATATTTTGAAAGTGTGAATTCTCCTGATTTCAGACATATTTAATTTCCATACATTCCATGGAGTATTTTATATTGGGTGAATCGAAGGAATATATAACTTGAGATTAACCGAAAATGTTGTCAGAAAATCATCTAATTCAACTCAAGTTTAGCTGAAACCAAGAGATTTTCGGGAATATCGATTGTCAGTTGACATGACAGTAAACTTGAATTCAATTAGATAATTTAACAACCACAATATCAATCAATCCCAAGTTATATTCCTTCGATTCACTAAGTATTACTCTCGGTATTACTCCATGGAATGAATCATGAAAAATTGCTTATCAAAATATGCAATGAAATAAAGGGTGTTCCATTCAAATAAGTTGAACAGTTGCACCCCCCCTCCGTATACGAAATGGGGCTATAATGTTTGGAGTGCATCATTCAAAAGAGAAAAACATCTGATTCAAGACTTTGTTCTTAATTTTCCAATATAATAAATTAGGCATCGTGTTTTCGAGTTTGTAAGACGCAAAAACAATGAAACCAATCGCTATAATTATAGACCCTTCATTTAGGTAACCTTTTATATGATCTTATAGAGAATCATTCGTAGTATGAGGTCATGATTCATCTCATTTGGATTGATGAGGGCGTACTAAGTATGTTCGATCCTTCATCTAAAAAAACCAAATGAAATTTCTTTCTTTCAGAATCCGACCCATCCAAAGGTGACGCAGTTAGCGAAGGAGAACTAGTGGAAGAAAGCTTGGACGATTCTGGAGATTCTCGCCCGAGGAAGATAAGGAGATCCCGAACAACCTTCACCACCTACCAGCTCCATCAACTGGAGCGAGCTTTCGAGAAAACCCAGTATCCCGATGTCTTCACTAGAGAAGAGTTGGCTATGAGGCTGGACCTCAGCGAAGCCAGAGTACAGGTGTGTGATATTGAAACCTTCGAATACTGGCGTGGAATGTAGTTACTGGAAACCCAAAGTACCTTCTAGGCTCTAGTACAGGCATGACTTGCTTTTCAATTTACCCGCCTGTATCTTTGGTGCTATTTTGTATGGAAGTTTCAAATTTGGTATATTGATTTGATTCCATAAGTGAATAATTTTGCTTGTATCAGACCAAATAGGTTGTTTTCTGAAAATTATCATTCAGTATTGAATTACCATTTCGACGATATAACAATCACACTTCCAATCTACAATCTACAGTTTCAATACCAAATAATTTATAACCCATGGAAAGACTTTGAAATCAGAGCCAACTAATATAAAGTTGAAAGGTTCAATTCAATGTGAGTAGGTAGTAGGTAATAAATAGGTGGCCAAGGAGTGGTCAACGAGGTTCTGGCAACCTAATCCAAGCTGTGGGAACCCGTGGCGATGGATGAATGGCACCAAGGTATGGTGTCGCTAACGGGGCCTCTGGGAAACAGGGCGACATCTCAGAGTAAACAGCCTTAGCCCTGTGTAGGGGTCACCACAGGGCTCCAACCCCCTCCTCCGTCACTCGTAGTAGAAGAAAAACTTTTGGCCTTCTTCATAGACGAGAACAGGGATCGGAAGAGTAATGTTTAGGAACCTGAACAAAAAGGGTCTTTCATATTGAAGTGGTCCTTAAGAAGAACCATAGTCGTATATGGTAAAATTGATAACGGCATCATGTAGATAAGATACAATGGGCCCCTAGGTCTAAGTGTCATCGGATACATCAGTCTGACGAGCCTACAAACGGGGTGGAGTGTTTAGTGGGTATACCCTGGAATCAGGGGACTTCCACACTATCAAATGGGGGGTTAGACCCAAATGATGTCCATAGAGGATTTCAACCACCTCGACAAAAAAATAGGAAACAGAAAATTGAATTTTCTTCCTGTCTTTTATTTCAATATGTATGGGAGTTTGTAACCAACTACAAAAAATTCTATGAGCATTTGAAAAAAAAATGAGGCCATCGGTGTTGAAAAATAAAGAAAAGCTGGAATTGTAAATAATAGTTAGAGTGCATAAAAAATATCGTGTTATAATTTTGACATTGACTTATTGTTACTCACATGCTATATTGTTTTATACTTTGTATTTGAAATAAAAAAATTGGATGCACTTCCGGTCAAACCAATGAATCAAATTTGGAACATCCATTCAAAATAACAATGAAGATAGAGGGGTAAATCGGTTCCGGGTCACTTTGTGCCATGAGAGGTAGGTGCAACAAGGGAAGAAGATATTTATGAAGAAATTGTTACCATTTTCAATTCTTTTAATCTGAACTGGACAAAGTTGGGCGGGGTCACCAAAGATAGAGGATAGTGGTGGCGAAAATGAAATCAGAATTATCAAGTATAAATATTGACATGAATTCTCTGTTCACATTTCACTCATCAGGAAAGTTTTTGTGCTCAGTCATTAAAATTCACGCACATAGACAGTATTTTCTAGTTTGAAAAAATCGAGAGGTTTGAATCTCCGCCATTTCCAGTAATTCCTGCGGGCTTAGAAACGAAATATGGAGACATCATTCTTTATTATGTAGTTCGCTGGCCAAGTGAGGTCAAGATATGAAACGATTTCAAGAGTTGAGAGAAGAAGTGCAAACTTTCATGGATATGAAGGGCAAACCCAAACTGGTCGTAATTTTAGTAGATGTCACCAATACTTCAACGACCTGAATACGAGTGACCAGAAGAAAAAGCAATTTTTCGAATACGGACTATGGTATGATGCGGTAAAGGAGGGATTAATGAAGGGCTGAAATCTTGAGACCGTTATTCGTTTGTTAGAAAATTGGAAAAGAAAATTGTCGTCAACTCGACTGGCAAGTGTACCCATTATAAGAATTACTGTTAATATGAAACAAATGATATAATTTCTCTTTTGATCACAATCGTTTCGAGTTAATAATAACTGCACTTTACTTTTACCAAAAGCGTAAATGCGTAATTATAACAATAATTCTTTTTGTTTGCGTTCTTTGATGCAAATTGTCGCCTTGGCAATTAGGCCTCCATCTGACAGACTATAATAATAGCAACTAATTGTTTCTGAGCGATTAGATCGACTCTATGCCGGTACAGTATGCATATAATGTAATATTCGTCATTGTTGCCCAACAACCTATTGAGTTATTGAATCCGTAATGCAGGATAATGGCGAACATGAATTGCATCTTAATTGGTAACAATTTGGATAATTAATCTGGCTCGTAAGGGCGTAAGTAGCTGTGCAATTGGCCATTGTTCGCCACAATAGAGGTAATCGGAATTGGTTCCGGACCCTACGATTCTCTCTGATGTCTCATTTAGAGTGGCTCGGATAAAATGATGAAAAGCTGTCTCTTTGATAATTGCCCTTTTAACATCGATTTAGATAAGCTCCACTACACAAGCAACAAAAGTATCACTAAATAATCTGCTGCCCCTATTACGTCTGCATAAAGCTCCTCCATGCTAGTGTATGCGATCGTAACAGCCTAATATGTTATAAATCGGATTCGAAATCAATCGATAGAATGTATAATAGAGCGTGTTATTACTTCAAAAGATACAAATAATTTAATGGCCAATTAGTTCATACACTTATCTTCTATTGGAGATGATTTAGTTAGGTATGTCGGTAGGTTTTATGGCAATCATTATCCAACTCTTATCAAAAATTCGGTAGACGTCACAATAACTATATTTCTATAATATATTTTTCCAGTTCAATATTCAACAAGACACTATTATTATTTTATTTCCTACTTCTTCTTAGTTTCGCTATCTATAAAAGCGTGTTTCTTTAGTTTTTCAAACTACCATTTATTTCAACTTCTTTTCAGTTCACTTGAATTTCCCAATTTTGGAATCAGAATTTTTGATCCCGAAAACGCCCACTTACAAATTTTGAATAGAGTCGGTATATAATTACAAAACTCGCACCTTAATGGCACGGATAGCAAAGTTGGTCATTGCGAGAATTATCTGAGAGTAGTAATGATAATGAGTCTATTTTCTTCATCGAAGACAGTCACAATATTGCACAGTTAGTTGATTGATAGTAATCGTTGAACCATAATTTGAATAATCAATCAAGAAAATTTTGAAAACGACGGAAGATAGGACAAATGTTTGAATATATTTCTTTCAAAGAATTTGACAAAAAAATCACCCTCTGCATCGTTGTACCATTCAAACTATAGGAACTTACTTATGTATCTCTTGTTCTCATTGAAAAATGAATGCCTTTAAATTATATGCACTGACTGGCGTATACTATATAAACTATTGAATCTTTGGTTGTCATCATTGTATACCTGTGTTTTTACCATATTTTTTGTTGTTGCAGGTGTGGTTCCAAAACAGAAGGGCGAAATGGAGGAAGCGCGAAAAGGCCATGGGCCGAGACGCAGTACCCTTCTTGCACCCGGGAGACCAGCCCAGCATGCCCGATTTCTCCATGCACCATGCCACCATGGGCCTCCAATCGATACCCAACGACCACTTCTGGCCGGCCATGTCCTTTCCTCCGATGTTCAACCCCGCGATGGGTCTGTCCTGGCCTCCCAAGAACCCCGTACCATCCTTCCACGCATTCCTCTCCCAGTATGTCTTGGCAGGGGGAGTACCGCAGTTCGGGCTGCGGCCGCCCAATCTGCAAACGGAAAGATCCAGGAGCTCCAGTCCCGAAGCCACCAGTCCCTCCCAGCTATCACCTGCAGCGTTAGAGGCTTTGAGAGCGAGGACACAAGAGATCCTCCTGACCTCTGAGTCGTCACATAAGCTGCACGCCAACTCGTAAGGTGGCTGAACATCGCCATGGAGGAAAGATTGCAATAAGACCGTTCGGTTACCTTCTGGTATCAGGTATTGATGCCTGACCTGCAGAAAGTTCCAGGAGTTCTAGTCCCATAGCCACAGCAGTCTCTTGCAATTATCGCCTGGAGCGGTAAATGCTTGGAGAGCGCGGACTCAGGAGATGTTCCCTATATGGATTGACGCCCATTCAGCAAACGGAAAGATTCAGGAGTTCAAGTCCCTAAGCCACTGGTCCCTCGCAGCTAGGGGCTTTGAGAGCGCCGAGGACCCAGGAGATACTCCTGACCTCTGAGTGTGACTGAACTACATGTACTCCGACTCGTAAGGTGGCTGAGAATCGCCATGGAGAAACAATTGCAATAAGAACGTTCAGTAACTTTCTGGTATTAGGTTTGAATGCCTGACCTGCAGAAAGTTCTAGCAGTTATCACCTAGAACATCAGATGTTTGAAGAGCAAGGACTCAGGAGATGTTCGTGACCTCTGGATTGGTACATAAGCTACACACCAATTTCCAAGAAGTTGAGGATCACGCTGGAGGAATACCTACAATGACTGCGTTCAGTTACCCTCTGGGTGTTAAATATACAGCCGCTCAATCTGCAGATGGAAAAAAACAGGAGTTCTAGTCCTGAAGCTACAGCAGTCCTTCGCAGTTATCGCCTGAAGCATTAGATGCTTTGAGAGCAAGGATCGCACCACAAATCTGTAAATTGGATTCACTTGCACTTTTGCTGCGGAGTTTGAACAATGAACAACAAGACATTTAGAAATATGTTTAAAGGTTTTCAGAAACATTTCGATAATCCTGATGAATATTCGCTCTGAAATTTCATGGATAGATACATTGAGAAAATTTGCGCACATTACTAATATGTCATTACATCACGACGAACATACAGGGTGGTACATCAAAATCGATAAAATATTCTTGAAATAAGTACGCTGCTGACCATATTTCTATACCAGTTCTCAAAATATTTATAGCACCTTATGAGGCGATTTGAATAGTGAATACTGATTCTCCAAGTATATCTACCTAGAATTTCAGAGCAATATCGATCAAAAATATTGAAATGTTAAAGAAAACCTTTTGAAAATGTTTAGCTCTCGCATCTAAGGGTATAGTATCTTAAATCAGTCATCTTATTTCAATATCAGAAATCTGCTGCTGCCTACTATTCAAACGGCAAAATTCAAACCATGCAATTCAGTCTAAGCAACTTTTTTCAATTGTTCCCAACCAGGTCAAAAATAGGGGATAGGGATTATTTGTCTCATTGTGTCCTTCCTTGATAGCTGGCAGTCTTTCTAGCTCATTATTCTGGTATACATTTCTAAGGGTCGTACCAGGTGATCACTTTCGAATTGATCACTATAAATAATTAATTTCCTTCCATGCTCGAATATCAGTGATGGTTTGTGTGTGTGGAATTTATTTGAACTGATCCCCTTTGTACAGTTATTGTTCATATTTGTTATTTGCCTCAGAATTTGTAATTAATAGAAACGAGATGAATGTGGATAAATTATTGAATATCTATTTGTAAAATTTGTATATAGGTAAATTTATGTTGAATGCAATGCAATAATTATTGTGAATGTTATAATTGATAATAATATTATTTCCAATATTACACGATGTGATAGCAAATTGTTGGCTTTCGAGCTTTGCAGTTCTATTTCATTTATAGGTATCATTCATTAGTATCTACTTTTTTTGAGGAGGGTCCTCAATATACAATTTGTTTTGAAAATCGATGTTTGAATCCGTGATTATCATTTGAAACATAATTTGATATAGACAATAAAGTTCTGGACTGGACTAATATTATACCTATGTTTGAAATAAGTTGCTGATGTCTACTTAATAGTGATTATTGTAGAAAGTATAAATCCAATCTATTTCAATATAATATATATCATATAATAAATGCGACTGTGTATTATTCAGCAAAACCTAAAAATCAATAATTAATTATTGGGAAGAGAGTTCTCATTCATAATAACCTCATGCATATTGATGGAAATACAACTCTCATGAGCCTATTAGATATCTTGAGAAATAATTGGTGTGATAGTCACCTGATAATGGTAACATTTATTGTGTGCCAACAGGTGCTTTCTGAACAATCATTGATATGCACCTGATTTTTCTATTCATCCCTACTTTGAATTTGTATGACACATATGAAGTTCCTGAGTCTCCTATAGTTTGACCAACACATATTTTGCAGCTAATATGGTGAATTAGTGATTTCTGGAGTGGATTCACTTTTGAATTGACTAATATTTCAGTTGATGATTTATATCTAGGGAATTTTAAATCAATTAACTGAAACCCTAAAGTCATCAAGTGGTCGCAGTGCCTCTGTGGCATCATATGGGTCTATCTATCTGGGAACACTTGTAATAAAAACAATACCCAGACAACATGAGACTGTACCGAGGGGTTAACAAATGAATTTAAGATATTCAAACAATTCGAAAAGCCATATGTTGTTCATAATTGCATATCTCAAAACATTCTGTATGGATCTTGATGAATCTGAAACCATTTCGAGAGAGCACATCAGGCTTCATGTTTTTGCAGACAGAAAAAAAAATTGAAAAGTCATCCTACTTATGGGGTGACCACAAACTTTTCTTAAATTATCACACTTTTAGATATAATCTTATTGTAGGTCATGATTCCAAGAAGGTGGAAAAACGTTAGAGAATTATGTAATACCCAATCGACTCAGCAATCCAAATCACAAAAATAATCAAAAATCGGTGGATCCCATCCAAAGGTATTACGATTCGAAAAAAAAACAAAATATTCGCTTCACTCATAAAAATGCATGTGAAAATCCTACGTATAGTTGTGTATCTTTTACGCAACATTTTCATGTGAATAGATTTCTCACATTATTCATCAGGTTGATTTACATTCGATGCGATTTTCCATATCGAATAATGTATAAATGATTTATAATGTAAAGTTCACTTGTGAAAAATAATTATAAACATACTGGTACTGGTACTGGTACTGGTGGGGGACGTTTCCACGTCAGCAACTAGTCCCCAATGGGACCTTTTTGCAAACCCCAAGTGTTTTCAATGACTGATGTGGTTCGCTCAAGAGAGCTGACTAACATCCTTTTCAGGCACCGCCCATCAGCTCTCTTTTTCAGAGTTTTTCAGCTGTGTTTTGTAGGCTAGTAATGTACTCACTACCATATGCGCAGTGGCAGGCCTGCTAACTATCATCGTTAATCCCCGAGACCGAGGTCTACTTAAGCAGCTGGCCCGCTTTCACGCTCAGCTGGTAGTTCTCCACACCCACCTACATACACCGTCCTACTTCTTCTCTGATGCTCGCAACCACATCATCATATCTTTCTGCGTGTTCTGTGTAGGCTTTGTTACTAACTCCATGCGCCACTTTAGGAGCAGCACTGTTAATTGGAACGCAACAGCGAATCGTGCAAGACTATCCCCAGCCGATGCTCCGAAACTTTACAATATTTAATTCGTAAATAAAATATTGAAAAAAGTTCCTTGCCCGTGCTGGAAATCGAACCCACGACCTTGCGGTCGTGAGACGGACGCTCTTCCACTGCGCCAATCCCGGCCCAATTATAAACATAACTTGCTCTGTATTGTCCACCAATTGCTGTGTATAATGTGATTACATAACATCTACGCTATATTTCACATGACAAGTCACTGTAGTGGACATTACTTGTTATGCACTATAACACATAACATATATATTGAATTTACATAGCTTGCAATGTAATTCACTGGAATGCAGTTTCTATTGGTCGCAATATGGTAATCACATTATCAATATGGTGAAACCACACAACGAATTATTAAATAATACATATTTGGTACTTGACAACCCTACATGTTTTCTAATGTAAAGCTGTGGGATACAGAACGTGATGTAAAAGTACATGACCTAACGTTGGTTATATGTGGCCAACGTTAGGTTATGTGATATTACATCATCTTTTATTTGAGTGTTGTCTCACTTCAAATGTGGAGCAGTTTACTTGTGGAAAACATGTAATTCACCCGGTGCTAGCATGTTTCGACAAATTCCGTCGGTTCTGTTAACATGATTGTTGCTACATATACATTATACATCCCTGATGTTTGCGGTGGGCTCGCGGTCGTGTTGAGTGTCAACAAGGCGTGCACTGCACCTGGAGACACCCTGTGGAGCAGGACCCTTGGTCCGGCCGACTAGATTTCATCGACGATCAGCCAGCATGCCCTTATTGCCCTTTCCGATAATAAAATCGGTCATGCCAATGATTCGCTCTGGATAAGTCGAAGTGGTCAGAGTGAATGAACGATTCGATTATTTTTCAATTCTGTTTAAAGGTTAGTCGATGGGAGATGGAGAATTTCGGCTGAAAAAAGTGAAAAAGAAAGATTGAATGGGTTCAGAAGATTGGGAAGCCCTTTAACAGATCACCTAGAAGAGTAACTGATGAATTGCTCATTTGTGGAAGGACTCAAATCGCCATGTTAATATACGAGTTTATAACAAGATTTTTCAGTCGATTATATTTTTCCTGCAATCTGGTTCGAGATTTCTTCATTCATCCGAAAACTAATACCGGCGCTCACTTTGCTCGTATGTTGAAATTTCTTGATCTTTAACCCTCGACTAGGGTGTTATAATGAGAAAAATAATACTAATGCGTCATATAGATCCTAACGCCTGGAGGGTAAGATTCACCCGAGGGATGAATGCTGCCGTTAGAATCTATTAACGCTCGTGGTTCGTGGTGCATACAAGATTCCATTTTTCACGAAAAAATCATCTTATTATAATCAAAAATCGATTTTGAATAGTGGTTCATTGCTCCTAGTATTTTCTTTCCATTTTTCTTCTCATGGTATAGCGGCATGCCATTTGATGATATTCTGATGTTTGTTGAATATTGCTGTCATCATTTAATTTAGTGAATGTCATTGCTGCTTTCTTCGTGATAAGAATAATGGAAATTAATACGACTGGGCCTTTCCAGTATCGTAAAATGCGACCCTATTCCGCTATAATGTTATGAATAGAAGTTAAAATCGTTTTCCTGACCATATATTCAACGAAAAAATCGAACGACAAATGAATTATTCGATATTAAAAATGCTATTTCTTCTTGCAATTTGATTGGTTGGAATTCTGACGGCTGGGAATCCCTCCGCTGTTGCCAGATCTGCAAGATGGTGCAAGGAATGCAATTCACATAGTAATTGATTATTAGGTAATAAGTTGATTGGTAATTCACTGCTGATTACATTCAATTCACTCTGAACTCCAAAGTATTCCATTATAATTTCAAGATTAGCTAGGATGAAATGTAATGCAGGCATCTTACAGTAAGAAGCTTTTTATATACTTAGTTGGGTTTCAATTGTTATAATCAATGAACTGAACATCGTTACTATATATTAGGTATCTCAAGCACTCATTTTCGGAAAATTTAATTGCTAATCTGGAAGGTATGTCTACAAGAGAAATGATGAAGCAACTGGCGCTAAAACAATGTTGCCGAGTTAAAAACACCTCATTCCCTGCATAACTCCACTGTTCTTATTCCTCAATATTTTTGACAAGAAGGCAGTGATGCTATTTTTGACAGTGATGCTGATGCTTGTGCTGAAAACAATAAAAACAGAACATGAACTTGAAACAACTCCACTGAAAGTGTTTTGAAACTGAATGTCAGGAATATCTGCACTGTAATTCGATACAAAATGAAATTTCTAAGACAGTTTTGAATAATTGTCCATCAGAAATCAACCAACTAACTAATAATGAATGAACAATTAATGCAAATTCAATATCTAGAATTTCCTGGTATGTAGTTATGAGTTGAGTTATCTAACAGCATATGTATTATTTGCCAACATGCAAAAATCGAGAAATGAATATCTGACTGATCATAGCTTTCTGTCCAAATTGAAAACATTTCGTCAAGTCCATCGTGCATTTTATTGGTTCCCGCGAGAAGGTCAGGGAATTACCAATCATTTGAATTCGCTCGTACATTTTGGCGTTTTTAGTAATTTTTCACAGGTCAAACTGATGAAAAAAAAAATCCAAAAATTGTTTCAAGGTATTCCAGAGCCATATATTTCAAGATATATTTCTTCCAGAAATGTCTAGAAGGCCCATTAGCATGATTCATAATGCCCTGGGTCTGTTAATAGCAACCGTTGCCAAGGTATTATAGCGCAGTATGGACAAGTGAAAAATAAATATCTCTATTTGCCGCTTCCTATAGGTATTACCTATGCCTGTTAGTAAGATTGGAAATACCTCAGACCATAGAAAAGTTGTCGATCTGGCTCTATTTTATGAATATTTTCATGAACGAAGCTCTTCTGAAAGCAGTCCCCGCGAGATTAACCCGTCTATATAGGCTACCTTTATTATATAGCTCTCATGCCCTACTTGACTTTCGAAACTCAAATACCTTCACTTATCAAATATTTCAATGCAAGTTTTGTTTCTTCTCTTTCGACTCTAGATCCCTATGGTCCCTGAATTATATCAATGTGCTTAGTGAGAAAGAACTGTTCACAAATTCATTGGAAACTTCTTGGGTTGGTTCAAATCATTTATACTGGCAAATATAGTTCTCTAAACCATGACCTGTATTAGGCATAAGCATCCTCAACTTATTGTTGATTATCTGGAAACAATATTTTTATTAATGTTCTATACAGTTCGATCTCAAGAATACCCACTTCTATATACCTTTCAACTGCCACTGCTC